TTATATTATGTTTTCTTCATACTTCTTTTCATTTATCTATAAAATGTTCATTAAGTTCTCAAGGTCATTGTACCTTCATACCTACATTATTCAATAAATATGTTTATTTTTTACAGGATGGAAAATATTTTCAATGTAATTATACTTTTTATCTGTCACTATACTAGAAGAAAATGAATTATAGAAAATATTGCAGTTTCCATTGTTTGTTGTAAAAAATATTCTAATGAGAAAAAACATTAAATACAATGATTTCTCTCAAATTTCAAAAAGTAGAGTTCATAGTTATGATTTTTTGTTTTAAATTAATGAAAGAAAAAGTTATTGTATTGCATGTTAGTATTGAAGATGCATTCAAAACTGAATTATGGATGATTGTTATCTGCAAAATCATATGTGGTTTGCATATATATTAGTCATGATCAAAAAGTATGCACGTAATTTTTTATTTGAAAACTACAATGCAGAGAAACATTTTGAAATAGGGAAAGGATACATTTGACTGCCCTCTAATGTCCTATATAATTTCCCATGTTGTTCAAGAATTTGTTTGAATGATGAAATTTTTCATCATTCAAAAAAAAATGAAAAAGGAAAAACATGTACATACATCTGAATAGGTTCAAGAAGTTTTCCATTACACAACTAAATTTTGGATTTCACTGTCATAAAAAGTTAACAGTTGTATAAGGATCCATCATTGCACAGCAGCCATAACATCATTGTCATTGGTGAAATATTGTTCATTAAACATTTCTTCAAAGAATGATAGACTGAAATGACAAGGTCAAGATTGTATAAAGGATGCTTTGGGATCTCCTAATCTCAGGATTCAATTGTCTGCTGAATGGTGTGTGTTATATAGGATAATGTCTTTCATTGCCTCTTTCATCTGATTGCTGCACACACATGATAGACTTTGTGTAAGTTAGCAGCTGCTGTAGAGTTTTTATTAGGCAGAAATTCCAGATGAGATAGTTTTTTTTTTTATAAGTGAACTGAGATGCTTATAAGCCATGCTTTGTTATTTGCATGAAGGAATGATATAATCTATGATTTATCATTTGTGATACTTCTGTTCAAGAAGTTCTCATCATTGTCTTTCTGGTATCATTACAGTAAGGACATCTCCATACAATTTTATTTGTTCTCACCTGAAAGATCCTTTAGAATCTACTGTCATGTAACTTTCCTGTACCCTAAAGAATCATAGACTGTTGTGTATCATACTGAAGGTTAAAATTTGTAGCTACCTCTCTCATCATAACAAAATGATTTTCTGAACTGTTTCTGCTATTAGGGCAATATTTGCATCAGTGAATATTCTGACCAATCTCCATTTGCAATATTGGTCTGCCTGTTTTGAAATTCTTTATCCCAGCACTACACACTTCTTTTTTCTGGGCATTGCTCACAATACACTGGAACTATTTCACTATAAATCCAAGAAATATTCCATCTTTTTGCCCAGAAAATTCAATGGTACTATGCTGTTCATATGCAATTGATGATAGACTGCAATGTGCCTGTCATTTTCAAATATTTGGATCTCAGGTTCCCAGATGTGTACATGAATACCACTGTGCAAGTCCAGTTTTTCATATCTTTATGTAAAATAGTTTTCTGTCTCATAGAATGAATGAAAATAAAAAATTATGCACAAAGGCTTTTTGGTTACCTAACACAAATGTTCTAATGTGAGATGGAACAAATTATTTAAATTGAAACTTTTAAAAAACTTTTTAGAATTAAAAGCTGTTGTGAACTATAAACAAACGTTTATTGAAACTTTTAAAAAATTTTTTAATTCTAAAAAGTTTTTTAAAAGTTTCAATTTAACATGTTGACTGCCATGGTACTTTTCAGGATTCCAGTGTAAGAAGCCAATTTAATTTAATCATATTATATTACAGTAGAACCCCTCTAATCCGTCACCTTTGGGACTGGGGGTATGGTCGGAACGCAAGAAAGGTCGGATTATCAGAAAAAAGTAAAATAAACAATCTTCTCCTTTGTCTAGTCTTTGTAGCACTGCTAATTCTTCATTTAATGAAAGAGTAACATGTTTACGTTTCACTCCTGACATGTTGAAAACACACACAAAACTGTACATGTACACACAATGTAAAACATATACTGTAACAAACACAGTAAAACTCCACGAACGGTGAGTCACTGACTAGTCGGGACAAAGTTTCTTGACTCCGACCACGGTCGGATTAACCGGAGTGACGGACTAGCCGAGGGCGGACTAGAGGGGTTCTACTGTATTAAAACTCTAATTATAGTATATAGTAATCATCAAAAAGCATATAGAATGTGTTTTTTTAAAAAAAAACATCTTGTGAATTATCTCGTAGTTGGCTTATGTAACAGATAGCTCTTCACTAAAGCCAAATACAAGTTAATTCATGCACAGACATGATTGAACCTGTTGCTTTGCTACAGTCGAATCAGAGATATGCATCTAAATTCGTTAATAATAAATCAGATATAGAGTCATGCTCATCACATTTATGTCTTTCTTGAGTGTGTTGTTTTATAATTATTTTTATAATCAAATTATAAATATCCCAATATGAATAAGAAAAGACCACTGACTGAAAAACAACTTGAGTACTACAGTAATCTGAGTGATTCAGAATCTGATGAGATTTTTGACAAAGATGGTAACAACAGTAGTGATTATGTACCTTCTGAGGATTCAAGTGAGGACAGTGACAAAGAATTCGTCTCTGAACCTTAATTAATTAAGATGAGACTATTCTCGAACCTGAAGGCAATCACGATGCTTCTCAAGCAACCATATCAAATCCAAATGATAATTTGTGGACAGAAAATCAACAAAATTTTGAAGTATTTATTTTCCAAGAAAATATTGGTTTGAAATTGGATACAACAAATCTTACAGTGCAAATGCTGGTGGACTTATTTTTTTCCTCTCGCCCCTGGGGGAATTTCGAAAAATTCCTTCTTAGTGTGCGTTCTTGTGATGTACCTAACTGTGTACCAAATTTCAACTTTCAACTCCTAACCGTTTGGGCTCTGCGCTTATTATTATTATCAACTCATCTCGATTATATATATAGATTAAAAAAATATCTAAAACGGTATCACAGTGGAAAGACATCAGCACTGCAGAAATGAAAGTTTTTATTGGACTTGTATTATTAATGGGCCCTTGTTCTTTTCCTTCAATAGAACATTACTGGAGTACAAACAAACTATATAATGTAATGTTTTGGCAATCACATATGAGTCAAAATAAATTCCCAATTGTTACTGCGTTATTTTCATTTAGTTGATTACTCAATACCCTCTTCTAACAGATATATAAGGTACTAAATCATTTTAATAATATTATGCGCCAAAACTATGTGCCAGATAAAATCAATTAACTATGTGCCAGACAAATCAATGATGTTGTGCCATGGAAGATTGCATTTCCGCCAGTACATAAATAAAAAACACAAATATGGTGTCAATCTGTATGAACTATGTGAATCCAATGTTGTTGTTATGAAAATAACAATTTACAATGTAAAATCTGAGGGAATTGACAGTAATTTAGGTCACATTACTGATGTTGTCTTACACTTACTTGAGGATTATCTCGATGAGGAATATACAGTATACATAGATAATTTTTATAATTCTGTTGCTCTTATGAAATTACTGACTACATGAAAAACTTGTGTGTGTGTGGAACTCTACGAAATAATGGAGAGTGGAATCCCAGAGATGTGATAAATTGAAAACTGAAAAAGGGGGAGTTTATTTGGCAGCGAAATGGTCCTGTTACTGTATGTAAATGGAAAGACAAACGAGAAGTTGTTACCATTTCAAAATGCATGTTGTTGAAATGGTAGTGGTGTCCAATCACAATGGAAAACTTTTGATGAAACTGAATTCAAGATTACAATCAAGGAATGTCTGACATTGACCAATCAGATCAAATGCTATCATACTATACAGTTCTAAGAAAGACTATTAGATAGCCCAAAAGATTGCATTACATATTATATATATATCTAGCAACTTATATTATATATATATATATATATATATTAAGTTGCTTCTTGAAAAAGTTTGTGCACAAACTTTTCAAAAAGCAACTTTTTTTAAAATAAAACTTATAAAGTGTAGAGAGCATTTGTTGAGGCATTGATTGGAGAAGAGATTTAACCAGTTTTTAAAAAAAATTAAATTGCAAGAGCTTCATTATTTATAGAGTATACCACCTACCAAAAAAATAGCATCCAACAAAGCCATGTTGAATTTGTACCAAAACTAAAAAATGCCGAGAAATGCATTATTTCTGTCCAGAGAAGCCAGCCCTTTGCATGGAAGATCGTTTTTAAAAATTATTACAAACAATAAAAATATTCTTTTGCTTTTGATTTTTAATAAACTTTTTATGATTATATTTTCTGTTCATTTATTAATAAATGTTCTGTTCATGTAAGAAAACCTTGATTTTTTTTTTTGTTCTCACCTTTGAGGCTATCTATTCATATTTACACTGATATATTATGAATTTAATCATAGCTGCACAAATATGGCAAGTAAACAAACTACGAGATAACTCGTAGTTGGCAGTTAACATGTTAAATAATTTGTTCCATCTCATGTTAGAACATTTGTGTTTGTTTTTAAATCTTTGTTCACCTGAAGACGATGATCATAGATTCATTGAAAGTGCTAGCAGTATAAAAAAAAGCTGGTAATAACACCACACTCAGTGTGTTTTTCCTTCCTGACATTCAATATTTGGTGTGAAGATCAAACTGTATTGCATGAATATTGTTATAATATTTATATATATAACAATATTCAAAACCCAAGATTGTTCAAATAGTTTTGAAGTATTAGTAAATGTGAAAATTTCAAGTGGTTAAATTTAACTTAATGTTAAAGTATTTTACATAAGATATTGTAGAAAATTTTTAGTAATGACTTTAACATATTAAAATTCTTGCTTATATTTCTAATATATTATATGCAATTTAAAATAATTTTTTAATTTTAAGGACTTCAACATAAAGAAAATGGCCCTGCAAATTTCATAAAAAATACAGAATTATCCTCAGGTATATTTTATAATAAAATAAATAATATAATTATCAAACTATGGACTGAAATTAAAAAAACAAACAAAATACAAAGTTTTAAAATATACTTGTAGAATTTACAAAATTATAAAACTAGCAATTGAGAAAAGATTTATCTCAAATTGAAATGGAGTCTTAGCTGAGTATTGTAAGAAACAGTTGATTTTTCATAAGACAATCCAATGGAAATTTTGATGTGAAATATCTGCAGTAATGCCATTAGGAAAATGATATATGGCAAAATTTTTTAAACAATTTTTATAATTTAATCAAATTTAACATTATAGATCAATGTGAATAGTAAAAATATATAATTCTCATTCTTTATTGACTAAATTTATGAAGCATATATGATTGTTATAAATACTTCCAATATAAATTAAAATTTGTTAATCTCAAAAGAGTTTTCAAAAATAGTTTGTATTTAAATTTGCTCCACTTGAGTTTTGTTTTCTTTGATATGTATTATATAAGCCTGAATAAATGCTTTAAAAAATTAAGAAAAAAATATTTGCAAGTTTTACAATTAGTTTTTATTCTAGTAACATCAATATAAGTGTTTTCTTTTCTATAGATAAATAAGACTATGAGTAAACAACCACTCACTACACCAGAATATAGTTAATCACATATTCTGAACCATTATGGTGTGTAGATGATAAACAAACAAAAACGAACATTTTCAAACTCCTGATGAAGGACTCAGAAGGAGTTTGAAAACATTCATTTTTGTTTGTTTTTGTCATCTGCACACTGTAATTGGTTCAAAATAGGTGATTAAGACTATGAGGAAAAGTAAATACAATTAATAAGATAGGAGAAATACAAGACCGATACTGAAATTAATCAAAAATCTTTTTCAGTAAAAAACTTTAAACCTCAACCTGCAAAAATTATTTATTTTATCAAACATTTTATCTGTATATGCAAGCATCTTCAGGATTCAATAGAAATGGAATACACTAGTACAGTACATTGTGTAACTTTGTTGTATCACAATAGAATTGAGATGGAGTCAGAAAGAAGTGATCCTTACAGCTGACAGTTGCAAAGGCAAACTTTGCATTTGCTGCCACAAACTTACTGACACAGAAAAACAATCCAAGAACAAAGCAGTTGGCATCAATTGCTTTGTTCTTCAGCTTTGTTTGTTTTTCACACCTATTTTCTGTTAGGCACATGCAATGTTGCATTTTTTTTGATTTTTTTTTTATCCCTAAATTCCATTAGGCATGCTCAATTAAGTCAGGGAGCATGGGCATTGTCAATTTGACCTACTGTATATCAAAAACAAAGTCATGGAATCCTATTTTTTACATTTACATGGACCCTTATTACATTTCTGGATTCCTCATTGCAATTAATCAAAATTGGTCCATCCACTTTTGAGAAAGGACTCAATTCTATCAATATAAGCCCATAGAAGATATGCTAGCAACCTGTGATATTATCCAACAAAGTTGTGTGCACTTGTGCTAAGACCTTGTATCTTGAAAACAAAGTCATAGATCCCTATTTTTATTACATTTTTGGATTCTTCATCTCAATTAGTGAAATTTGAATTAATTAAAATCTATTGATCAAATTTTCAGATAAAACAAAATTTTGTAAGCCATATAGAAGAGGCTTCACTAATGCTCTGCCTCAAATATAGTACAGAATATATGCAATTTGAATTTAATTTAAATGTAGAAAAATAATTGCATTTAAATAAGAATATCACAATTGAAACTGCAAACAAATAAAGTAGAAAAAACAAAAGTAAAAATGAAAATAATAAAGTAACAAAACATACATGTAAAGTAGGTAATAAGAGGAACTCTGATTTAGTATATACAAACAAAATATTTTCAGGCTGAGAAAGGGCATCCTTGTGGTTTATATACAGTGTTTGGTGTGCTTAAATATTAACTTTTAAGGATTTTTTTCCATAGTTTGGCCTCTAGCTGTCTTGAGGAGCTTTGCATTGTCAAAATGATGGATGTTTTCAGGTGTCATTAACATAATGGCTAATGCAGTTGTACATTTTCCTTTTTACACATCATACTGACATTCCTTGAGTTGTGTGGTGAGGTTATTATCTATATGTCCATATTTTGTTACTTTATTATGAAAATAATACAAAATGTACTTGTTACTTTACTACATCTTTATTTTTTACTTTATTTGTATTTGGATATGATATTCTTATTTAAATGCAATTCTTTTTCTACATTTTAATTTAAAATGCATACATTCTAAACTATATTCTAATCCATTTTTGTTGGATCTTGAAGATGGCTGTGTAGACAGCTGAAAATGCTTATTAAAATAAATAACTTTTGCTAGTTAAAGTTTAAAATTGTTTCATTGAAAATGATTACCAGTTTTTTCTGCCAAATCAAAAATCTTTTTAACTGAGTTGTAATGCTCAGGCATAAGTTTATAAACCGTAAGTAATGAAATAAATAAATCTTTCTAACTCAGCTTCTAAAAACTGTTTATCTGTATACTATTATATCAATACAGAATTGAGTAACTTAGATGGAAAAAAAAGCAATTTTACTTTTTTCCTTTATTGATTTTTTTTTTTTGAAAAGACTACAGTTAAAAATAATACTAATATAGTTAAAACAAACGAGTTTAAAGTAATAAATATTAAATTTATTGTTTTATCTTGTTAATTTTAAATAAGTAATAATAAAAATATCATAGGGAAAGATATTTTAATTTAAAGAAAATTTTTAACTTAAACTGTTATTTATTTATTATTCTATATATTAAACTATAAACTATTTATCATTAAATTTTTTTATTTTCAGATTTTTATGGATCAAGTGGTTGTGATACATCATATTATAGTTCAGATGAGGAATCCAAAGATATTAATTCATTAAATGATTCAACGACATCCATAACTCATTCTTATTATTCTAATTATTTTAATTCTGGTAAGTTTTCATCATTGTGTGTATACAGTTGAACTTAGTTATAAAAAGCACTAGGGGACTGGCAAGATTTCCTTATTATATCTGTGAAGAGCAGTGATGTAACTATGGAGAGAATGGGTTGCTGCTTTGGGTGCAAACACATGGGGCACTTGGCAGGCAGCAAAATTTTGTAGCTATGCTACAGATGATTAGTGATTTTTAATTCTAAATAAATTTAATAGATTCAAAAAACAAAATTATGTAATTACATTATATCATATTTTTATTAATTGTTATATAAACGACAATATAATTAATATTAAACAATATATTTTTTGTAATTAAATATAACATTAAACAATAATATGCTTAATTTCAGTTAGTTTTAATTAATATAAACATTGTGATAATTTGGTTGAGATTATGAGATGATCTCAATTTATTCTTTAACTGCTTACTAATTGAGACATTAGTGAATAATAATTGCTTTTACAAAGATGTTTTATTCAATAACATACTTCTTTTTACAATATGCATTTTGGCTAAATTACTGTTTGGCCCTCTTCAGTTGTATTATAAATTAAAGTACATAAAAGTTAAAATTGTATTTATAAATTATTCTAAGTGGTATTTTTACAAAATTTTTATGATATTACTTATAGTTAAACTGTTTACATATAAAAAATTTGTTGTTGTCAATTTTTTTTTCATTAATAATGTTTTTTCAGTTCTTTTCTTTACTAGGTTACATCAAAATTATTATAGTTTTTTTACATAAATATTTTTAAAATTTATAGAATGACTTACATTTTGGATTTTCGTTACATTTTTAAATCCATACATAAAGTATATACATTAAAGTGTTACAAATTTGGCCTTACAACTTTTGCCTTCTTGTACACTTTAACTACTCTATTAGAATTAGTTTTTAACATAATGTTGTAGTTCACAGAACCTATGTATATATTGGTGGATGATGTCATACCAACACACTTCCAACACATGTTTAATTTTAGTTCATCATTTAAATTTAACAGTTTTTGCCTTTTTTATGAAATGGTGTTTTTAATTCTCCTTTTTATTAAATTTTTTTCTTTTCATAAAATTTAAATATTATTTGTATCTATTTTATAGTTATGTTTTGTGACATGCATAAACCATAGCGATTGTACATTCTCTACATTTTAACCGTAATATCAGCTTTGTGTTCTTTAATTCTGAATTTTAATTGGTGTTTGGTTTCTATATAAAATTTTTTATTTTTATTATTACATGTACAGTTTATACAATATACAACTGTAGACATTTCAGATTTATCTTAATTATTTTGTTCATTATGATGAATTAATTTACATTTATTTTTTAACGTTGGGGTAATACATATTTCAGTATCTTTAAAATTTTTTTAAAATTTATTTTATAAATTCTTTATATAGGGAAATGAAAAGTGTATGACATTCTTTTTATTTATTTTGACATTAACCCGTTGCGTACAAAGACATTTTTGATATCAATGTGATTAAACATAAAAAAATACTTAAAACTGGAAAAAAAACAAAAGAAATGCGTTAATTTTGAAGAAAAAGCTTCAAATTTTATTTTCCTTTGTCTCGCCTTTCTGTGAAATTTGACACTGATGAGTCATTGTTTACACAGCTGGATGACCTTGAACACAGCTGGAGTTGGATTTCCCGGGACATTCTCAGAAGTCTCGGGAGGCGATGGGTTTATAGTAGGGTGAATACTAGCTGGCCGTATATTTTTAAAAAGTTAAAATTTTTATTGCGATTTTCGACCCCCCGACTTAATTAAACTTATAGACTATATAATAAAATATATTAATTAAAAAAATTTTAAAACTATCGGAGGTCGTTTTTGACATTAGAAACTAGCTTTAAATAACTTTACCGAAGAAAAATTTGTGCACTACAACTTTAGAACGATGAATAAAATTTGATATCAAACTCTCATTAAAAAACAATTAAAAAGCAATTAAGCGTGAATCGTGCGTCATTAAAGATAAATTAAAATCGCGATAAAATTCTTTCGCGCGGGAAAAAAATTTGGAGACTTAAAATACATTCCAAAAATTAAAAAAAAAATT